GCCTGTAGTTCCAGCTACTTGGGAGGCAGAGGCAGAAGACTTGCTTGAGCCCAGAAGTTGGAGGTTGCTGTGAGCTGTGATGCAACGGCACTCTACTTGGGGACAGCTTGAGTCTCTGTCTCAAAAAAAAAAAAAAGAACTTAATTTCTTTTATTGTTTCAGGTTAATTTGAGGGTACAACGAATTAGGTTACAATCTTTGCATTTGTTAGATAGAGTCCCTATTAGAACTTAATTTTTTTAATAGATATTTTTACTAGATTAGCCATTATTAAATTAATGATGTATACTATATTAACATATCTTATTCATTATTTTGAATAAATAGGGCAATTTAGGCTATCTACTTCTTGAGTAAGCTTTGATCATTTGTGTCTTTCAAAGAATTTGTCCATTTCATTTTTAAAAAATTTTTATTTAATTTTTATTTTTTTGAGACAGTGTCCCACTATGTCACCTTTGGTAGAGTGCCGTGGCATCACAGCTCATAGCAACCTCAAACTCTTGGGCTTAAGCAAGTCTCTTGCCTCAGCCTCCTGAGTAGCTGGGACTATAGGTGCCGGCCACAGTGCCTGGCTATTTTTTGTTACAGTTGTCATTGTTGTTTTAGCTGGTCCAGGCTGGGTTCAAGCCCGCCAACTTCAGTGTATGTGGCTGGCACTATAACCACTGTGCTTTGGGCGCTGAGCCTTTCCATTTTATTTTAGTTGTCAAATTTATTGGCATGTAATTGTTTATAATGTCCCCTTGTTTGCCTTTTATTTGCCTTTTACTGTCTGCAGGAACTGCAGTGATGTCCTTTGTTTCATTCCTTTTTTTTTCTGAGGTAGTCTCACTCTGTTGCCTCAGGCTAGAGTGCCATGGTGTCAGCCCAGCTCACAGCAACCTCAAAGTCTTGGGCTTAAGGGATTCTCTTGCCTCAGCCTCCCAAGTACTTGGGACTACAGATGCCTGACACAACGCCTGGCTATTAGAGACGAGGTCATGCTCTGGCTCAGGCTGGTCTCAAACTCATGAGCTCAGGTGATCCACCCAATTCAGCCTCCCAGAGTGCTAGGATTACAGGTGTGAGCCACTGTACTTGGCCTCCCCTTTTTATTTTTGATAATCCACCATTTGTGTCTTCACTCCTTTCTTTTGATCCATTAGGGGTTTGTCAGTTTTAGTAATCTTTCCTTGTACACCTCAAGTTCATTTATTCTCACCTCAGGGCCTTTTTATAAATGGTTTATGGATCCAGGCATTGTGGTGGGTTCCTATAGTCCCATCTCCTGGGGAGGCTGAGGCAAGAGGATTGCTTGAGCCAGTCGAAGAGTTTGAGGTTGCTGTGAGCTAAGATGTCACAGTACTTTACCCAGAGCAACAGAGTGAGACTCTGCCTCAAAAAAAAAAAAAAAATGCTTTATGAATAAGTGAATGAAAATCTCCTGTTTCAGAGATTTTCCCCAAATGTTACACTATATCTTCCTGTATCTGGGAATGTCCTCTACCCACACCACCCTGAGCCCCATTCTGGTAGCCCCAAATCAGGAAGCCCCTTCTACTATATGGGGCAGGAACAGGTTGTTCATGTCCCTGAGCATTGAGGTGGGGCACCATGCCCTGTGGTTTAGATCACTCCATCCCAGCCTGGAGGGCTGCCTCTAAACCTACCTCCCTTCTTGGAAACAGGAATTGAATCCAAAAGCTATTTTTTTTTCCTGGAGGTGGCTGATCCTTTTGAGGAAGATGGCAAGGGGACCAGCATAGAAGTGGGACTATCCCTCACACTAAGTAAACACCATCTTGGAGAGAGAGTAAAGTCAGAGTAAAGCCATGAGAGGAGTCAGCTGTGTCCTTACCACTTTAATGTAGGTCCTGCTAGTTTTCTCACATGGGGAAACTGAGGCCCAGAGAGATGGAGTAACTTCTCCAACGTCACATAGCTGAAATCGGAACCTAGAATTCTGGTTCCACAGCCCATGTACCTGACTTCCCTGGTCATCTGCCTCACAGAGAGAAAACCCACAAAATCCCAGGGATAGATGGGGAAACTGAGGCTCAGGGAGGCAGCAGGATTTATCGAGGGTCAGCAGCCAGACTTAGAAACTGAGCCTCTCACCACCCCCTCCAGCTTCCCAGGCCTGGCTCTGTCTCCTCAAAAGCCCTGTCTCCAGGAGAGGGTGGATCCTGTGCAGATGGTGCTGGTTGGGGCTGCTGCACGATGCCCCAGGCTTGGCACAGCGAACCCTGTTCCTTCCTGGCATCTGCCTGGTTCCACTTCCTTCTCTATCCCAAGGAGGAAGCTGCCACTTCCTGTCTGAGCTGTGTGGCCTTTGGGGGGTTTCCTAAAGAGAACCCTTCCCCCCATTTCTGCCCAGCAGATGTGAGTGTATAGGGATGGGCGTGGGGCACTGGGGAGGCCCCAGATCCTTCCTGGCTTCAGGACAGTATTGGGTTGCAAAGAGTGATTCCAGTGGAGCTGTTCAGGCTTTGGGTTATGACCCATTCATGAATCACAAAATCTGTGTTGTAGGTAACAACTGTGATTCTTATTCCTTTTTTCTTTAATGAAATAGAAGAGAAAAAAGTGAAAAAATCAGGGCATCACAACAAAATAAAGTTAACTGGGAGACTTTTGTTTGTTCTTTGCACTTCTTGGGGAGACTTGAGACCTGAGAGTTAGAAGGCAAGTGGGAGAGAGGACTCCCTGGCTGGCCGTCCCAATGCCACCTCTTGCAGTACCCAGAGGAGCTGTCTAGTGTCCCAGTGTCCATAGAAAAATAACATTAACTGACATTTTGATGAGGCTTAACTGCCTCAAGTGTCCATGTCCTGTTTTGTTGTGGAAGGACTCACAGGGACCTGAGTTGACTCTCCTGGTCTTCCATTTGTTGTGTGACCCTTGACAAGTCTCTCAGCCTCTCTGATGCCCTGTATCTCCTTTGCAAATAGGAAGTAATGGGAATCTGTGAGGAATGACTGAGGATACACAGAGTCTCTTGGCTCAGGGTCCAGGAAATGGTAAGAGTTAAATTGTACTCACTGTGCTTATTGTTATTATTATTATTCAGACAGTGTATGGGGAACTTCCACATATAATAATTCAAAAGCCTATAGGTTGGGAGGCTCGAGACAGGAAGATTACATGAGCCCAGGAATTTGATATCAGCCTAGGCAACATAGTGAGATCCCATCTCTATGAAAAATTTAAAAAAAAATAAGCTGAGTGTGGTAGCACTCACCTGTAGTTCCAGCTACTCAGGAGGCTGAGACAGGAGGATCCCTTGAGCCCAGGAGTCTGAGGCTGCAGTGAGCTATGATGATGCCACTGCACTCTGATCTGGGTGACAGAGCAAGACCCTGTCTCAAAAGCAAAACTAAAAACGAAAGCCCACAGACTCTGGACTCAAACAGAACTGAGTTTGAATCCCAGCTTGGCCACTTACTGGTGGCATGACCCAAAGCAGTTCTCTCCACCAATCTAAGGCTCAGTTTCCCCACATGAAAGCAAGCCAAGAGTTGTCCCCGTAGTGTGGTAAGGCTCAATGGAGCCCAGCTATTAGCACACTGTGAGCCTTCAGTCAAAGGGAAGTGAACTCATGGCCTCCTCTTTGATCCCCAAATTGCCAAAGCTCTGAAAACTGGAAAGTTCCGCTGAGTTTCTACATAGGAGCCCCACAGGAACCAGAGGGAGGATGTTTGTTTATCTCACTGACACACTACATTCCCATGTTCCACTGCAGGAGTATTAGTGAGTTTGACCTGTCCCCATCTTAAAATGCCATAAATTCTGGAATCTGAGACACGTACGGCCTTGTGTTGGAGAGTTTCAGATTGGAGACCATATGATGTTTTTTGTTTTGTTTTGTTTTTAAATGAAACTTCTTGCTTTGGAATAATTTTATTTTTTTTAATTATTTATTTAGAGGCAGGCTCTCACTTTATCGCTCAGGCTGGAGTGCAATAGGATCATCATAGCTCACTGCAGCCTTAAACTTCTGGGCTGAAGTAATCCTCCTGCCTTACCTTCCAGGTAGCTGTGACAACGTGTGCACACTGCCATGCCTGACTAATGTTGCTATTTTGTGTGGGGGGGGGGCGGGGGGGATGGGGTCTTGCTAAGTTGTCCAGGCTTATCTTTTTTTTTTTTTGAGACAGAGCCTCAAGCTGAGCCCCTGGGTAGAGTGCCATGGCTTCACTGCTCACAGCAACCTCCAACTCCTGGGCTCAAGCGAGTCTCCTGCCTCAGCCTCCCAAGTAGCTGGGACTACAGGCGCCCACCACAACGCCTGGCTATTTTTTGGTTGCAGCCATTATTGTTCTTTGGCGGGCCTGGGCTGGATTCAAACCCGCCACCTTAGGTGTATGTGGCTGGTGCCTTAGCCGCTTGAGCCACAGGCGCCAAGCCCAGGCTTATCTTAAACTCCGGGGCTCAATCCTCTCTAAATGTTGGAATTATAGACATGAGCCACTGGTCCTAGCCTTGGAATAATTTTAGATGTCCAGAAAAGTTGTGAAGATAGAGCTGGGCATCCCCATCCACCCCTCACCAGCTTCCCCTCTCTGTAGCATCTTGTAGAACCACTAAGCATTTGTCACACTGGGCATTTAAGACATTACTATACATGACCATTAACTCAATTCCAAAGTTTATCTAAATTTGATCAGTTTTTCCACTCCAATTCTTTCTCAATTCCAGGATCCACTCTCACACTGCATTGAGGTTTCCTGTTTTGTTTGTCTTTCCCAAATTTTTATTTTGGAATAATGTCAGACTGATTCAAAAGTTGTACCTGGGTTCTTCCATAAATGTTACCTTTTTACCAAATTTCCTTTATTTCCTCTTTCTCCATATATACCTAGATACACTATATTTATCAGGAGTGCCAAAAATGTATACACATTTTAAGATCTCTTGTTGGAAGTAAAATTGGTCACTCCTAAGAAGTGTGTGATGTGCAAATAAAATGGTCATGTGCAGCATGTCTAGGTACACGTGACAGTAACAGGACCTTCAATTCAACTTTGAAAATACATAGATAACATCACTTAAAATGCGTATACATTTTTTTTACATTCTCTGTATATACTATATATAAGCATGTGTGTATATACTTATAATTTATATGATAAAAATACGTCCCGGGATCATGGACATATAAATTATATCTGTAATTTATTTATTATGCATTTATACATTTAATATGCACATATACCTGCTTTTCTAAACCATTTGTAAGTTGTAGGCCAGATATCTTTTTCCCCCTAAATATTCAGTTGGTTTGAGTCCCCCCCCCCAACCAGCAAGAACGATAGGACCTTGATCAAAAGGTAGCAGTTGGGAGGACATGGCACCCTCAGCCAACCTGCAGTCTTGAGTCCCATTTTGCCAGTTTCTCCCAATTTCCCATAGTTGTCCTTTACAGCAAGAGAAAAGTCTTCTTGACTTCCAGCCCAATAGACTCGACCTCAGGGGAGGTCGAGAAGGGAGAGAAGGGAGATGGCCACCCAGGACCTTCCCATCCAGCCTTCAGATGTGCAGTGGGGCTGCATGTGGCTGCTCAGCCTCTACTCTCATTTCCTCTTTCTGGGCTCCAGCCAGCCCACCCTTCCCTTTTTGCTGCCTGTCCCAGTTCCTCTTGTCTAACCCTAGCAACCCTCATCCCAGGAGGCAGAGGGGGCCCAACCCCCTTCTCATCCCTGGAAAGGCCAGTGTCCTCCAGGGGCTGGGATGGGGGTGACAGGATGCTGGTGTACCATGTCTATTTTACAGATAAGAAAACAAAGGCCTGGAGAAGGGGAGAGTTAGATGGTCTTGGGATTTTAAAGTGTAGGCAGCAGGGAGCAGAGCTGGTCTTTGACCTTTTAGTACCAGGTTCTGGGAGAATCCAGTATTATCATCACAGACCCAGGGCTGGCTTCACAGATGTGTGACCCTGGCAGTGCCACAGGGCCAGGACTCAGAGGACCTCAAGTTTCAATTAAAATTCTGTGGTTGGCTCTGCTAGAGCCTATGGCTCTTTTGTCTGGTCCATCAGCAAGGCCATGTCCATTCTGTCTCCCAAATATCTCTCAGATAGGTCCCCTTCTCTCCAACTTCACCGTGACCACCTGGTCCACACTCAGTTCACTCACCTCCACCAGCTTTGTCCCCTTCTGTCTGGTCCCTGGGCTCATGCTTGCCCCCAACATCCTATCCTCTGCTTAGCAGCCACCAGAGGGCGCCAGTGAGCACCTGGGTCAGGACCTGTCTCTCCTTCATTAACAGCCCTCTTTGGCTTTCACCTCCATGGGGTCAAAGCCCAAGTCCTCCCCAGGGCCCACCACCTCTTACATGACCTGCCCTGTCTCCTCTCTTCCCTCCCCTCCTCACTCTGCTCCAGCTACTCTGCTCCTTGCTGTGCCTCCAACATACCAGGTGTAGTCTTTGCACAGGCTGTGCCTGCCCTCTCAGATCTTGCCTTGAGAAGGTGACCTTCCACCCTTTAGGTACTGCTCAGCTGTGGTGGTCACCTAATTATTCTTTACCCTACTTCTCCTATTTTCTTTCTTTCATTAAAGTTTCTGTACCTGAAATTATTATTATTATTATTTTTGAGACAGAGTCTCAATGTTATGTTGCCCTCAGTAGAGTGCCATGTGGTCACAGCTCACAGCAACCTCCAACTCTTGGGCTTAAGCGATTTTCTTGCCTCAGCCTCCCAAGTAGCTGGGACTACAGGTGTCCGCCACGACGCCTAACAATTTTTTGGTTGTAGTTGTCACTGTTGTTTGGCAGGCCTGGGCTGGATTTGAACCCGCCAGCTCTGGTGTATGTGGCTGGCGCCCCAACCACCGATGAGCTATAGGTGCTGAGCCTCTACCTGAAATTATTATAGCAAGTAATAATTACAATCGTGATTATTACAATTATTGTTGTGGTAAATAATATTATACATTATCATATTGTATATTATTATATATCACATATAATAATGCAGACCATGGCTGTAAGCCAGGGGTCAGCAAAGTTTTTCTGTCAAGAGACAGATAGTATTTTAGGCTTTGCAGGTCAGACAGTCTTTGTCGTGGCCACTTAGCTCTGTCCTCACAGCAAAAAAGCAGCCACAGGTCCTGTGTGAACAAAGGAGCATGGCCGTGTGCCAGTAAATTGAGGGACACTGAATTTCATATAATTTTTACATCATGAAATATTATTTTTTAAAATTAATTAATTAATTAAATTTTTTTGGCTGGGGCTGGGTTTGAACTCGCCATCTCTGGCATATGAGACCAGCACCCTACTCTTTGGAGCCACAGGTGCCACCCCATGAAATATAATTTTGATTTCTTCCAATTGTTTAAAATTTTAAGAACCAAGGCTCGGCACCTGTAGCACAGTTGTTATGGCCCCAGCCACATACACTGAGGCTGGCAGCTTCAACCCCAGCCCAAACAACAATGACAACTACAACAAAAATAGCCAGGCATTGTGGCAGGGACCTGTAGTCACAGCTACTTGGGAGGCCTAGGTAAGAGAATCACTTAAGCCCAAAAGTTTAAGGTTGCTATGAGCTGTGATGCCATAGCACTCTACTGAGACAGTGAGACTCTGTCTCAGAGAAAACAATTTTTTTTATATTGTTTTTTTGATTTGGCCCTTGTGGAGGTATAGTTTGAGATCCCTGCTGTGAGCGTTTTACAATGAGTTCATTTGATCTTCACTTTGATTTAGCAGGCAGGGTCTACTGCGGTCCACATTTTAGAGAGGGAGAAACTGAGGCACTGAGTGGCTCAGTCACCAGCCCAGGGTCATAGGGCAAGGCCCTGGCTATGCTGGAGTCTAAGCTGAGGAGGTTTGGCATGGGTTGGGGTGTCTGAGCCCCTTGGAGGGCTGAGCAATTTGGTGGCCTCATCTCCCCAGGCCCTGGCGAGAGTGGGAAAAGCACGTTCATCAAACAGATGCGGATCATCCACGGTGCCGGCTACTCGGAGGAGGACCGCAAGGGCTTCAGGCCTCTTGTCTATCAGAACATCTTTGTGTCCATGCGAGCCATGATTGAGGCCATGGATCGGCTCCAGATCCCCTTCAGCAGGCCAGAGAGTAAGGTGAGCCCTTGGGTCCCCAAAGCAGAGCCATGGCCCCTCAGACCCTGTGTTGCCTGAGGAGGGAGACCTGAGTCCCACTCAACCCTGCTGGGGTGATGGCACCACACCATCTTTCTTTTTTTGAGATAGAATCTCATTATGTCACCCTTGGTAGAGTGCTCTGACATCACAGCTCACAGCAACTTCCAACTCTCCGGCTTAAGCAATTCTCTTTCTTCAGCCTCTCAAGTAGCTGGGAATACAGGCGCTCACCACAATGCCTGGCTATTTTTTGTTACACTTGTCATTGTTGTTTTAGCTGGCCCAGGCCAGGTTTGAACCCGTAACCACTGTGCTACGGGCACAGAGCCACCATATCATCTTTCTAAAACCAGCAAGATTCTGAGAAAGTCAGAACTAGTCCAAAGGCTTTGGAGCTGACATGAGACACTGTAAGTGTCTGTCCTTCCCCAGCACCACGCCAGCCTGGTCATGAGTCAGGACCCCTACAAAGTGACCTCTTTCGAGAAACGCTTCGCCGTGGCCATGCAGTGGCTGTGGAGGGATACTGGCATCCGGGCCTGCTACGAGCGCCGGCGCGAGTTCCATCTGCTGGACTCAGCAGTGTAGTGAGTCTGGAATCTGTGGGTTCTGGGCATGTCAGGAGGGGTGGAGGGCAGGGGCCAGGCTGTCCCACTCCTCGCAGCAAGACAGTTCCCTGGAGTGAGGTATTCTGTTCCTGGGTGGTGTCCTTCCCAGCATTGGGGGAACCCTGCTCACACTGGATGTCCAGAGTGATTTGTTAGCTGGGAGGCTATTCCCAGGCTGTCACTGTTCCTGGGGCAGCTCCCCTGGGTGACAGCTTTCCTGAGGTAACACCATTTTCCAGTGAGACTATTCATGACATCACACCTTCTTTGGGGTCCTGCTGCTCTGAGTGAAGCTGCTTCCCCTTGATTCTTCACTGCTTCATGGGCCATCTGTAAACCCTAGAGACCCCAGCCCCACCCAGGGAGCTCTCTTGCCCCAGCTGGGTCCTCACTGGGCCCTGTGTATGTGTCTGGCTGTGAGACCAGGCCTCAGGACTTCTCCCCCACAGCTATCTGTCCCAACTGGAGCGCATCACCGAGGAGGGCTATGTGCCCACAGCACAGGATGTGCTGCGCAGCCGCATGCCCACCACTGGTATCAATGAGTACTGCTTCTCCGTGCAGAAAACCAACCTACGGTGAGTGCTCAGCCCACCAAGGATAGCAGGGAACCATTCCTACAGGAGGGACAGAGGAGCTGGGGGCTTGAAGAGTAGGAAGGAGGAGCCCTAAGTGAGGTACCAGAGTTCCAGGAGAGATCTTCCTGGAGGAGGGGGCATGGGTATTGGGGTGTTGAAGGATGAATAGGAGTTCACTAGTCCCAATTTTGAGGGCTGTTTAGGAGGAGGAAATAGGGACTGTGTGGTCAGAGCTAGACTAGAGGGATGGATTTGGGGCTGGGAGGAGATCAAAGGGAAGATTCTGTAGTGGTTAATTTCAGGAGATGGACTCTATAAGGGAAGGTTTGATGTCAGGAGACTCAGGAAGAAGCAGGAGTCAGGGTCCAGAAAGAAGAGCTGGGCATGCAAATGAGGGGAGGATGCAAAACTCATTTCTGATGTGGAATGGACAGGATTAGGTGAGTGTGGGAATTAGGATAGGAAGCCCAAAATGACTCCAAGTTTCTTGTCAAGGTGATGGGAGTAGATGTTGGAGCCAGTAAGGCTGGGGGTTGATGAGATGATGAAATCCTCTGGGGCGGGTTGAATCTGAGGGACCTGGGAGCATTGTGGAGAGGCCTGAGCTGGAAGACAGAGGTTTGAGTGGCCAAAAAGGGCTGACCAATGTCAAAGGTCAAGAAGAATACAGTAAGAGAAAAGACTTGGATGGGAAGTTATGGGGTCATCAGTGACTTTAGCAAGGTCCCTTTTTATGAGGTGGTTGCAGAGAGCTAAGAAGGGTACAAGACAATGCCCTGAGACAGATTTTGCATTCATCCCAACCCTCCTGGGTCCCTCTTTTCCCTGCATCTCCCAAACATGCTGTTCTGGCCTCTGCCATAGTTGATCTGTTTACCATGAGTCTTCTCCATCAGATGGAGAGCACCACAAGGTTAGGGGCTGAGTGTGATTCTTCTCCCGCTTTAGTGAATCAGCTTAAGGGCAGAGTGGAAGTTGGCAAATGTGGGTAGATGGTTGGAAAGATGAAAGGGAAGAAATGAGTAGATGGATGGATGAGTAAATGGACAAATGAACAAATAGTTGAGTGGGTAGATGGATAAGTAGGTGGTTGGACAGATGAGTGGAGTAGTGAATGGATGAGTGAGTGGGTGAGTGCATAAATGGACAGATGGGTGGATAGATGGGTGGATAGACGGCTGGATGAATGGACAGGTGGATGGTTGGATGGATTAGTGGGTAGATGGGTGAGTGGATGAATGCACAAATGGATGAATAAGTGGGTGGGTAGGCAAATGGGGTGGATGGATGGATTGATGGATATATGGATGGATGGGTAGTTGGATAGATGAGTGGATGAATGGGTGAGTGAATACTGAATGAGTGTATAAATGGATGGATAGGTGGATGTATGCTTGGAAGGATGGATGGATGGATGGATAAGTAGGTGGTTGGATGAATTAGTGGCTAGATGGATAGATGGATGAATGGATAAGTGCACAAATGGGTACATAGGTGAGTGGGTGAATGAGTGAATGGATAGATATGTGAATGGGTGAATGGATAGGTAAGTGGATGGATGGATAGGTGGATGGGTAAATGGACGGATGGTTGATAAGTGGATGAACGGATGGATGAGTGGATGGATGGGTGCATGGGTGGGTGGGTTGATGGATAAGCAGTGGCTGGACAGATGAGTGGGTGAATGGATGAGTGAATGAACAAGTGCATAAATGGGTGGATAGGTGAGTGAGTGGATGGATGAGTGAATCATTGGATGGGTGTGTGGGTAAAAGTTGAGGAGTGAAGGTAGAGGCTGGGGAAGTACACAGGGAAGGCTGTGCAGAGGAGGTGATTTTTAGGTAAGGAGACCTGAGAATGTTCTCAGGCCAAGGAGAGAGGTCAGTGAAAGGAATGAGTGCAGAGGGGATGATGGCTGACTTTCCTCAGCTATCTCAGCCTCCAGAGTCCCACTCTTGGCCACTGCATGCTCCTGTCCTGCTCTGCATGTGGTGGGTTTGAAGGACTCTGACGACACAGGAGAGGGATCAGCCTCAGGGATCAGAAGACACAGGCACTGGCCACAGCCTGACTGCCTAGTCACTGACCTCGGTTTCCCCTCTCATACAAGGGGGCAAGCACCTTCTTGCCTGAGGCTTCTGGCCCAGGCCTGTCCAAAGCCTCTGCTCTGGCATTTCCTGAGTAACGGTCGCATCCCCAGGGAAATGACGCATAGACTGTTATCAGTGACCCACATTTCTCAGAAGAGAGAACCGGAAGGCGGGGGTGGGTTCAGGCTTTTGTTGTGGTGTGTGGGGTGGACTGTGTAGGCAGGCACTCCTCTGCACCACAGATGGAGGGGACAGCATTCGCTCTGGGAACAGTCCTCACTTCCATCTGTGGGGCCACTAGACATTCCATGGTCAGCCAGAACACAACAGTCCCATTTTACTTATGAAGAAACTGAGTTCTGGGTATGTTTGGCAGTTTCCTTCCAAATCACACAGCCGAAACTAGGGCAAACCCCAGATCTCTCCACCCTGCTGCTTTCTACTGCAGGGTAGAAAGTGGGCAGCCCAGTGCAGTAAGAAGCTTGGGAGAGCCCCTCTCCCTCCTGCCTCTCAGTCTCCTTGTCAGTAAAATGGGTATAAGATTCATCCCTGCCTCTCAGGGGGTGACATTATAATGTACAAAAGGCTTTGGCTCAGGGGCAGGTAGAGGCACAATCATTGCTCACAGCAACCTCAAAATCCTAGGGTGATACTCCTGCTTCAGCCTCCCAAGTACCTAGGACTATAGGCATTTACAACAATGCTGGGCTAGTTTTTCTATTTTTTGTTTTTGTCTTTTTTTTTTTT